TCTGCTGAGTTGTTTAATTGTCCACCACCATTCACAACTGGATGTGGCAGGACTGCAGAGCTTAGATCTGATCCATTGGTTGTGGGATCACTTAGCTCTGTCTACCACTTGCTGTTTATCACTTGCTGCTTTCGCTGTTTGGCGTGCAAGTAGTCCTGTTTGGTGGCTTCACCAGGTTGATACCTCATCCTCAGGCCTGGTGCTGCTCCTGGCATGCCCTCCTGCACTCTTCATTGAACCAGGGTTGATCCCCTGGCTTAATGGTAATGGTTGAGTGGGGGATATGCCGGGATATGAGGTTACAAATTGTGCTGAAGTATAATTCTGCTGCTGTTGATGGCCCACAGCGCCTCATGGATGCCCAGTCTTGAGTTGCTAGACCTATGCAAAGTCTGTCCCATTTAGCATGGTGATAGTGCCACACAACACGATGGAAGTTATTCTCAATGTGAAGGCGGGACTTCATCTCCACAAGGACTGTGCGATGGTCACTCTTTCCGATACTGTCATGGACAGGTGCAACCACAGTTGGTAGATTCGTAAGGATGAAGTCAAGTATGTTTTTCCCTCTTGTTGGTTCCCTCACCACCTGCTGCAGACGCATTCTAGCAGCTATGTCCTTTCAGACCCGACCAACTCGATCAGTAGTACTGCTGCCGAGCCACTCTTGATGGTAGACACTGAAATCTCCCACCCAGAGTACATTTTGTACCCTTGCCATCCTCAGTGTTTCCTCTAAGTGTTGTTCAACATTGAGGAGTACTGATTCATCAGCTGAGGGAGGTTGGTATGTGGTAATCAGCAGGAGGTTTTCTTGCCCATGTTTAACCTGAAGCCATGAAACTTCATTGGGTCCACAGTCAATGTTGAGGACTCCTACAGCAACACCTTCCTGACTGTAAACCACTGTGCCACCACCTCTGCTGTCCTGTCATCGGGACAGGGATAGTGATGGTGGTGTCTGGGATATTGTCTGTAAGGTATGATTCTGTAAGTATGATTAGGTCAGGCTGTTGCTTAACCAGTCTGTGAGACAGCTCTCCCAATTTTTTGCACTAATGCCCAGATGTAGTGAGGAAGACTTGCAGGGTCGACAGGGCGGTTTCTGCCGTTGTCTTTTCCAGTGCCTAGGTTGTTGCCAGGTGATCCGTCCAGTTTCAGTTCTTTGAGACTTTGCAGCAATTAGTACAACTGAGTGGCTTGCTAGGTCATTTCAGAAGGTAATTGAGAGTGAACCACATTGCTGTGGGTCTGGAGTTACGTGTAGGCCAGACCAGGTGAGGGTAGCAGATTTCCTTCCCTGAAGGACATTAGTGAACCAGATGGGTCTTTCCAACAATCGGCAATGAGGTCATGGTGATCAGTAGATTCTTAATTTTTAAATTATTGAATTCAAATTTTACCATCTGCTGTGGTGGGATTCGAATCTGGGTCCCCAGAACATTAGCTGGGTTTTCTGGATTAATAGTCTGGCGATAATACCACTAGACCATTGCCTACCTGCCATTTAAATGGGTAAAGACTGCAGAAAACTGTAGCACAGAGAGATTCGAGACCTAGTCCATGAATCACAAAAAGTTCAGTGGGTAATAAAGGATGGCAAATGGAATATTGGCCTTTATTTCAAAGGGAGTGAAGAATAAAACTAGGGGGTAGGAGATTTTGCTGCAACTAAACAAGGCCAAAGCTGAAATACTGTGCATAATCTTGGTCCCCTGATATAAGCAATTAAATATTGGGATTGTTGGCAGTCCAGAGAAGGTTCACTAGATTGATCCAGAGTATGGAGGGATTTTCTTATCAGGATAGGTTGAGCAGGTTGGGTTTATACTCATTGACATTTGGAAGAATGAAAAGAGATCTTACTGAAACAGAAGATTCCTGGTGACTAGACAGGGTGGATTGGAGAGGTAGTTACCCATTGTTGGAGAGTCCAGGACCAGACAGTATAACATAAGAGTAAGGAGTCGTTCTTTTAAAACAGATGAGAAGGATTTTTTTTCTTTCCCTCCCAGTGGTAAAATTGTGCAACACTTTACTGCTGAGGTTCACTAAGGCTGGATGTTCAGTGTATTCAAGGCTAAGGTCAACAGACTTGAAATCACTAAGGAATCAAGGGTTATAGGGACAAAGCAAGAAAATTGAGTTGAGGAATATCAAATCAGCCATGATCTCATTAATGGTGAAGTGGGCTCCATGGCCTCCACCTGCTCCTATACCTTATGATTCTTCAACCTATTCCTACATGATAGGTTCTTCTCATTTGATCACTCCATATATGTAGAGGATAGTAACATACTTCAGGAGCGTATAGAATGATGAGAATGTGAAGGTACACGGCAGAGGTGATTAACATTCCCTCTAAGCTGCACAGCCATGCAGACACAGAGCCACTCTGATGTTCCATGCACAGCAATCAGTCAGGCATTGACTTTCAGTTCTGGACATCACTAACACTCATGGGCCTCAAATGTCCACTTAACCGGTAAGAAAATTAGAGGAAACGTAAGGAACAATACAAACAAGTATTGTAATTCTAAAAGAAATGTAGGAGCATACACAAGTCTTAGAAGATGACATGACAAGTTGAGAAGACTGTCAAAAAGGTACATGGGATCTTTGGTCTCATAACTGGAGACACTGACTTAAAAGCAAGGAAGCTGTGCTAAAACTTTACAAAACATGGGTTGGCCTCCCAGCCAACGTACAGTCCATTTCCGGGCACCATAGTTCAGGTAGGATGTCAAGGTCTCAGACAGCATGCAGTCAAGATTCACTGGAAGATTTCAGTTCTATGTCAAGTCTAGAGCAAATGGAGTTATTCTCCTCAGAGCAAAGAAAATGAAGAGACTTGATACATTCAAGTTTCAAATTCTTGAAGAGTTTGGATAGAGTAAATACGGAGGAACTGTTTTTGGTGGTAGAAGCATCAAGTATCAAAGGACATTTTTTAAGGCAATTAAGAAAGAAAAAAAAGGGCTTGTGAATTGATTTAATTACAGTGGGTCATGATCTGGGAAGCGTTCCCTGAAAGGATTGTGGAAGGGGATTCAAAAACAATTTTCAAAAGAGAATTGGATAAATACTTGAAACAAAAGATGCTGGGCTATGGGAAAAGTATTCAAGAGAAAACATGTTCTTACAGCTATGGTCTCCTCTGTGCTTTATCATACTACGAAAAAAAAGGTTCAGTTTAAAATTATAAACATTGCAAAAACCTGAAATAGGCAGACTGGAAACAATATGTACAGAAGATTTCAAAGTAATTTTAGTTCCGCTTGTATGAAAGTTAGACAGCATAGTAGGAACCATTGTTCAAGAACTCCCCTCAAGAACAACAAGACCCAATAAAAAAATCACACGGAGGTTCATCAGTATAAAGCTTACATCATCAGTGCAGGGTTCTTTGTCTCAAGTTATTCAAAACAATGTTATGTCCTTTCCAAAAGGAATGAAGCAGAGACATTATACTTGCAGAGTGCACAACACTGTTTGAGTGGATTCTGTCCCTTTTGAGAACAAATGAAAGCTTTCTAAATTGTTACCATGGAACCCATTGTGTAATCTGTTTCTGGTGCCTTATACTGTCAATAATAAATACACCATGTTACCATTTCATGGATGTTAAACCCAAACTCCAACTAAATCATTTGTTCTTAGTTACTGACCTATAACAGATACCCAAATGTGCCAATTGCTAGATATTGAATTTGTGGCAAGAAAGCAGAGCAGTATTTAGTCCAGCCTTTAGTTTTAAATTACACACTAGAACAAACTCCCACCAGAACAAACTCCCAGTCACATTCATTACTATACACCAGTTTTCCCTTCATTCCTCCTTCCCCCCACTATGACAACCTTGTCTGTTCCTCAAAACAAAATGTCTCCTTTTAACAAGTAAATACATGTGTTTTGCTCATATTAGTGAAATGTTCCAGAGAAGTGTCTTTGATATTGTTTTTAATTCAATTTTATGTTCAAGAACATTCCTCATTGATTTTTTTTAATGAAGTAACCACTGTCAGCATTAAGTATAGTACAGCCAACTGAAAAGACCCCTCTGCTCTGCACATATGTGGGCCTCTTCCATAACATGAGGGGACCATCTCTTTCTATACTGGTTGTTGTTGGGGAGTTGGGGGAAGACAGTGAAGGGCTTCTGTCTCTATTATAAATTTAACACAAGTTTGTGGGGTGGACCTGTATAAACTGTAGGTAGGTTGAGACTGTCCTAAACCAATTTGTATAAATATCTGTCAGGGAATCTTCCACGACAGCAATCTTGCTCTGAATTCAATAACAACTGTTTATTATTCATTCTTGGGTTTGTGAGTTTTCCCATCCTCAATGCACCTTGAAAAACAGTGAAGAGCTGCATTCTAGTACTGCTGCAGTCCAATGTAGTTCACCCACAGTGCCAGTACAGAGAGGGCATTCCAGAATATTCCAGCAGTAAAGGATGATACAGTTCTGTATCAGGGTGGTATGCAAACTGGACAGCAACTTGCAAATGGTACTGTTACCATATTTCTGCTACCCTTATCCTTCTAGATGGCAGATAATGTAAGTTTGGAAGTGACATCATGGTAATTCCACCCAAGGGATTAACATATGTAAACACTATTAAAAGTTATTGCAAAGGAATTTACATAGGTATGTACTTGGAACAAATACTCAATGCATTTTGCTGGGGCAATATTACAGAATTATTGATTGCTAACGTTTTGTTCTAGAATTAAATCTGAAAGTCAGTTATATGCCTTCATGAGAGAACACTGTGGCTGTAATTACAGAATAAAATGCTTTTGTCTCTTGTAATTTCTAAAGGTTTTTTTTTTAAAATGAGGATCCTAAAACTCTTAGATCTGCTTGTGTAATGGAAGTTTAATAGCAATGCTCCAACACCATGGCAATTCTGAATGTCATATGATATATTCTTAATCTATACGATGGAAATATCCTTATTGTGTGACCCAAAAGCATGAAAAATTTTCACTCACCAGCATTTGAACTTGTCAAATTGTATCGTGCATTTAACTTCTTGATAATATTTTCATGTATTTGGTACCATTCACTTTCAGTATTGCACCTAGAACAAAATGGAATGTATAATTTCAAAAAGGAATTGAAAAAGTGTATAAATATTTTAAAAGTTATTCATAAAAATACTTGCTTAGGCCAGAGAGCACACCAGATGATGTCCTAGGGTCAATAACGTGCATTGCAATAATACAGGGGAAAAGTGTAAAAGCTTTATTGGCAGAGTTCCATCCAAAGTGTAACTCACCCCAGGCTTCTGGGGGAGAAGAAAACAATCTTGTCTCTCTCTTGGGCCATATGTAGTGGGGAGCTGTCTGAGGTCCCTACTCTTTCAGTTTCAAATCATTCAATTAGCTGCCTAAGCGACAATTTATGTTTTAATTCTTGAACACAATTGGATAAGCTGTCATTTCCATTGGAAATGTGTCCATCCTCCACTAAAACCCAAGTTGGAGATTAGTGGAACATCTAAGGAATTTCAGAAACCACTTTGCGTAAATGCAACAGAATACTCAGAAAGCCTCTGTACATATAAATTACCAACTGGTTTAAAAAGTGTAGAATTTTAATTTTTGTTCAAACCTGATGAAGCATAAACAATCAAAATGAAGGTCCCCTCATAATGTGCTTCAATGAGACATTTGGCAAATTAACTAAAGCAGTTCTACAGAATCTCCTACTACTGGTTTACATTGTAAATAACCACATTGCTTACTTCACATTGCCACTGAAAATAAATTACTTTGTTTCTAATTTTGTTACCTATGATTAAGTAGCCTGAATATTCATGAATTTTGTTAGTTTCCACTGACTCCACTTAAAAAATAAAAATAATAATCTTAAATGTACTGCTGAACTCACTAAACAATATTGTTCAATCTCAACTCTTGGATGCAGATCAGAACTTTAATTGAAAAAATAAATTCAACATTGCCTGCCACACTGTCAACCTATTTAAATAATGCCCATCATTTATAATTTATTTAGAAATTTTATTTAATTTGTAAATTATGCATGACCTTTTTGTTTATGTAAAAATACTAAATGAGAGTTCAAAAAGTTGCAAAATGCATTTCCCTATTCCATTCCCTTCAAACTCTTTCTTTCTTGCTCCGTGGTATTTATCCACTGCACAACAGCCTAAAGGGGTTATTAAGGTCACAACAGACGACAAAGCACTGAGCTTCAGTTCTCTCTAACAGCCAGTTATGTCTGTTCTTGCAGTAACAGCTGAATAATTTCACATGAAAAAAAATGACCCACATTAACTAGTCCAGATAATCACAACCATCACTGTCCTCTTCACTTGATCATAAAAGATCATAAAAGGAACATTACATCTTCAGTGTGGCTTGGGGATTTAACAAAGAAAGGCATGCACACATACACATTGCCTTTTAACAAGTTTTCAGAACATTGAATTAATGCTCCACTCCAATTTTATTTTGTTTGTGTTAAATGCAGATCTAGCATATGAAAGACAAATGTATCAAAAGTGGAATTGGTTGTTTTCATCAGGTGTCTTGCTCAAATGGGGATGAGATGTCTGAGCAGAAGCTTCAGGGCAAGGCCCACCATATCCTCCTCCAATCAGGCAGTGCTGGTCTTCCTCTGAAATCAAATGTACAGGGGAAGATGTCCTGCCCAGCCAGCCAATCAAATCAGTAACCAGCAGCTCTTGCACTTGGCAGCACCATAGAGAAGGTGTTGCTGCTGCCGGAATGTCAACCAATATTGCAAGGACCAAGGTGTCAGCTAAGTGCTTTATTTGGAGGCAGCAGCATTTTTGGGTTGGGGCTGGGGACAGTGGGATTGGAAGCAAGAGCAGGGCATGGGGCAGGAAGGCTGAGCCTGGGCCTTCCAAACTAGAACTTAATTCAGGATGTCAGCAGCTTTCTGGTGCACTATCATCCTCCCAAATTAAGGTGCAATCTCTCCTCTGGAATTGAAAGATTCCACCTTAAGTATTGGAAATACATTGTAGTGAAGAGAAATTGACCAGTTAAATGTTTAGGCTGTCTTTAATCTTTTAACAGATATTGAAACATAATAACAGAGGAAAATAGCAAGTGCAGTAGACCCTTCAGCCCTTCAAGCCTGTTCTGCCATTCAATAAAATCATGGCTGATCATCCACCTCAGTACTCTGTTCCTGCCTTCACCCTTTAATCCCTTTAGCTCAAAGAAGTGTGAACTCATAGAGGTCTATAAAATCACAGGGAGCATGGATAGGCTAAATAGCCAAGGTATTTTGTCCCCAGGGTGGGGAGTCCAAAACTAGATCACATAGGTTTCAGGTGAGAGGGGAAAGATTTGAAAGGCACCTAAGGGGCAACTTTTTCACGCAGAGGATGGTGCATGTATGGAATGAGCTGCCAGAGGAAGTGGTGGAGGCTGGTACAATTACAACATTTAAAAGGCATCTGGATGGGTATATGAATAGGAAGGGTTGAGAGAGATATGGGCCAAGTGCTGGAAAATGGTACTAGATTTATTTAGGATATCTGGTTGGAATGGACAAGTTGGATTGAAGGGTCTGTTTCTGTGCTGTACACCTCTATGAATCTATGACTCTATAACTACATCCATGAATCTCCTTGAAAACATTCAACCTTTTGGCCTTAATCACGTTCTGTGCCAGAGAATGCTACAGGCTCACCACACTCTGGGTGAAGAAATTTCTCCTCATCTCAGTCCTAAATGCCTACCCACTGACCTTAAAATATGCCCTCTGATTCTGAGCCTAATGTGTTGGAAACCTGCAGTACATTAAAAACACATTAACAGTGCCTGTCTTTATTTTTATGCATGGTCTCAGAAAATAATAGAATATAAAAAACCTGAAAACATAAAATGACAGAAATATTAAGTTACGTCATTCGTCACATTGTGCCAAAATTTAGTGGGAATTTTGTGTCACTCTATAAGTTTGTCCTCATTGCTCAGTTTACCATTGCTTCCAAAATAGTTTCTAATTTACTAAACTTGACCATTATTCCATCACAGCTACATAGACCAGAGAACAATTGTGTGGCTGCTTAAGACTGATAATGATACATCACTTTCATTTAACCATCAGTCTAGGTTAGTAGCCACAGTCATCTGGGAAATAGCTTGGTTTGTTTTTTCTAGGTTGTGACAGCTTCTTCTTGGTGGTTTTGCCATCTTGGGTCACATTGGTGTCTTAAGGCAATTACTACTGGGGCTTCCACATCTATCTTATAGCCAATCCATTGGCCTTCTCCTTTGACCTTATTAGGAATTACCTGGAGGTGAAGTAAAGGAAGAAACTGGAGAATGAGCTGAACTTGTTATGACCCACCCTCACCATCTCCCTTCAGCCCTTTTTGAGTAGGAAACAACTGGCTACTTCTATGAAATGTTCTGTGAAGTGCCTGAAGCTGCAGTTAACCTTCTGTAGTGAAATGCCTGAAGCTGCAGTTAACCTTCTGTAGGGTTTTTCCAGAGGGAAAAGCCAGAAAAGAAAAAGTAGTAATACTTAGAAATGAATATACTGGAGATCTACTTTGAAGTGCACAAGCCGAATTAGAGCAATATGTATCATTTGCAGATTTTACTGAATTTTCCTTCTGTGTTATTCATGGCAATGGCCGGGATGACAATTTCAGCTACTTTGCTTATTATCAGTCAAGCTAAAACATCAGCCAAAGAGCTGTGAGGACCTGCCATTAACAGGTGCCTCCATCTGCAGGGCATCTGATTTCACTAATTATATTTCCATTACACAGATCCATAAATTTCCCACACTCTCTTCATATTTGTTAAAGGACAGGGTTCTTTTTGATAGGACCAATGCTCTAATAGGGGCTTCACTTGAGTAACCTGCCACTGTCATCAACAAATGTCACTGCTTGTAACTGCCTGCAAGGCTGAAGCTTAGATCTTATATGTGTGCTCCGAGCATCAGGAAAGACTTATGGACCAGATCAAAGCCCCTCAAAATATATTAAGAAGATAGCCTAGACTCTAACGTTTCCTATTTTAAAGGTAAGTGCCAGGCGTTGCATTCTGGATGTAACTCGATTGGTCAAACGATCATTCTTGAAGCAAAACACACTTTATTCATACACTACAGTTAAAATACAACAAAAGAAAGAAGAAATTGGAATAATTAACTGTATTGGAAAACTTAGCAGAATAATAGATTATTTAATGACTGAGAAGTAACTGTTCCAATGTAGTAACATCCCATAAACTCACCTTTGGCAGAGGCAAACTCAGTAAAATAGATAGTGTCTTGGGTATTTCTCCAGTCCAGGAGGACAAACATCAAGAGAAAACTCAGAGACAGTAGCAGGGAGAAATGTGCTGCAACTTCCAAACCCAAATGACCAGCAAAGACAACACTGTATTAAGGTGGTCAATTGTGAGGTGATAAATAATACTATAAGTCACAATTGTTTTTGAAAGCAGCATGAGACAGGAATCTTAGTAGCAGCAGTATGTGTCTACATCACTACCTGAAATCTAAGCAGTGCTATGATGAGATTGTCAATTCCAAAGTTGTGCAAAGCTCTGACAGCTGTGCAAGATCTTTTTCAAAGAATCATAACTTAAAATGGGCAAATACTTTTTCTTGAAAGAACAAAACATATAATTTTTTAAGGTAAATATCTTAGAATGCCTACAGTGTGGAAACAGACCCTTCGGCCCAACAAGTCCACACCAACTCTCAGAGCATCCCACCCAGAAGCATCCCCCTATAAACCCACCTAATCTACACATCCATGGACACGATGGGCAATTTAGCATGGCCAATCTACCTAGCCTGCACATCTTTGGACTGTGGGAGGAAACTGGAGCACCTGGAGGAAACGCACACAGACACGGGGAGAATGTGCAAACTCCACGCAGGCAGTCACCCGAGGGTGGAATTGAACACAGGCCCCTGGCCTGTGAAGCAGCAGTGCTAACCACCGAGCCACCGTGCCGCTCTTCTGTCTGCATACACACCCATACTTACTTAACCCTGTTGGAGGAGAGCAGACAATAGGTTAAGTGAATTTCTTTGTGTGAGGTGAAGGTGTTAAAGTGGCTGCTGTTTGAAACATAGGAACTTTTTTTAACATTCACATGAAGATGTCAAATTTATCAGCTTTGTGTTTTGAAAAATTTGCATCTTATGCAACAGACTTGGATTAATTTTTATCTTTAGCTTCTGCCTGGAGTAATCAAACAAATTTCATCTTGAAATACCCGAGCATTCCTCTTCAACAAGTGCTAACTTAGAAGTCAACTCCTTTCCAACTTAAGCCTTTCTTCACAAAAAAAATCTGGTACAACTGCTTCACTGTATCTTATTTATTTCTGAATTGAAGCTTGAACAATTGGCTACCTTTTTTGCCCACTGTCAATTAATTTAGCAGTACCAGTTGCCCAATTGTGAGAAATTAATGTGATCTCTCCATGCTACCTGAGTCACCCATCAAGAAGCAGTCATCCTTTCAGTCAATTGCACCGCAATCTGAACTTAAAGTGGTTCTGGACTCCAATATTTAGACTATTTCTTAAGCTATTGTGGCAATACTTCTGTGGAAGAGCAGGATATGCAGGAGTTGGAGATTTATCTTTTACAGTATGTCACAACATTGAAGAAAATAAATTTTCTTTTTAAAGTTAATTGAAGATTATTTCATGAGTTATGGCTCACTTACCTCCTAATGCAAAACCTCCATTGTAGCAGGGATTCTTAGCTTGCAATCATGTTGTATAGTCGATTGGTAGGGTTGGCAAATGACTGCATTGTGAACAAGGTTCTTAATCATCATTGGCCTGTCCATGTCAAATGCCAGATCAGTTTTCCGACAAATTTTGGCACAAATATAACAGAAAAATGGAGAATGCATTTATCTGATTAATAGTGTAGGCCTCAAAAGTTGGCCATTCTGGCAACTTCTGGCCTAACCACTGATTTTTGATTTTGTGGCATTTCACATTTTTGTTCTGGTTTAGAAAACGGTTGAAGGAAATACTGCTGTGCATTGAAGCATGCTTCTCCAAGAATGTGCAACACTAAAACCAAGCATGTAACAAGCCACAGCTGAATCTCAAAATTAGTGCTACAAGAAATCAGTGTACTTACAGTCTTATACATTAAAACTACTAACCAAACTTCTATTTGCTGAACAGCTTCAGTACGGGTATTTGAGGCACAGATTATTCTCTTTTTTGTGAAGCAACTCACAGGAAAGCACACAAAATACTTCTTGATAACTCAGCCTACTTCACTAGACTTCCTAATGTTCCAGCACAGTTAAATTTCATGATATGAGTAATAACCTTTGCCTTTGATGACCACTGGTGTGTGAAAATGTTCACCAAAACTTGACAAGTTGCTTCTTTGGAAATACTGATATAAAATTTCCTAATGTCGTGAGGAGATCATGAGGAGATCTCATGTCATGAACTCCATGTTGAGCAAAAAGTACTGAAGAGAGAAATTTTACTGTACATGTAGACTTTAAGCATGTGGTCCTCTTTAGAGTCCCTGGTATCCCTTTCAGTTTGCAGCAAGTCTGCAATGCTTAGGACTGCACAACCAAATGGTCGACGATACTGTGCGTTGCAAGTATTTTTCTTCTCTCCTGCAGCCATTCGACCTATAGTGCCACACCAGATAAACATATATATATTTTCAATTAATTGGCATGGAATATAAACAGTTTGAAATGATTAAATGTCCTTTGATTACAAAGAAAATTAACTTTACCCAGTCTTATAATGTGAACAATAATATATATATCCTTCCTGAGGTCACTGCTGCCCAAATCCTGAAAAAGACACTTAGAATCAGAGCGGATTATAACACCATTTTACAAGGTTTTGCTGAAATGCTATCTAGCTTTGGAGCTTCAGTTTTATACTGATGGTTTAAACAAGATCTGTATCAAATTAATCTTTTAGCTGAATTGAGTAATGCAATTCCTGATGGTCTACTATGTTCCTCAATAGAACCTTGAAATAGAAACATTGAAAATCATCTTAAGTGAATGAAACTGATTTTTTTTTTTTACTCAGTCACTTTGCTTTCCTTGAGCCACAAATTATTTGCAGCTGACATAGCAAGTCTACTTCCAGGACGACAATAACACTTTTATAATCCATTATAGGAGTCAAATTTATGATTTAAAGAAGTGAAATTGATCGCATAGGTATTTCATTTAATTTAAAAGGGAGAAGCATCATTGCAGCTGTTATATTTCATATCAGAATAAGTGGAAACCTGTGCTATCAATTGTGTGAATGGACCAGGAAAGGATTTTCAAAGTCTAACTTCTCTCCCTCCTTATAGTGACGGAAAGACCATGAGATATAGGAGCAGAAGTAGGCCATTTATTTTACTGAATCTAGAATTTAGGAAGAGGATGGAAAGGAAAGCAGGGTTGTGGTAAGGGTGAAGAGGGGGCCACAAGAGCCAGGTTGTGTTGGACACAGAAAAGAAGTTCAACGAGGAAGAACAAAGGTGAAGGCAAGGATAACAGAAAGGGAAAAGAGGACTGTGTAAGGGATAACTAAAAGGGAACAGCAAAAGCAAAAAGGAGATAAAAGAAAAGGGTGGTGGATTTTGCAAGAAACCAAAGGAAAGACAGATGTGGGCAGGGAGGCGAATGAGACGTGAAGGAGCAGCATTTTGGAACAGATCTTGTGTGAATTTTTTAGGTGTGACGCAGCCACACCATTTGTTTTGTGCTTGTATGATTTCTACTCCAATTTTCTTCATTTGGATTAGGCAATCCAAGCAGTCAGGGGTAAGAATTAACATTCCAAAATTTTAAGCAGTTGACAGGTCAGCAATGTAAGTGCACTAAGATATGAGATTTGTGACTTTCAGGCCAGCCTACTGGAGCTTTTACGGGCCCACAGAGATCTTTAAAGTCCTAAATTACGATGATCATTGAGACAGATGGTGAGCACAGACTGGGGAAAGTTGTGTTCAGCTAGTGACATGTAATGGAAAACATTGTTACTTGAAGCCTCCTCAAATATTTGAGGAAATGGAACAAGAATTTCACCTGAGATTTTTTTCCTGAAATTGGCACAAGAATGATCTGCCACTGGGTAATAGAATTACTTGGGACAGAGGGAAGGCTACATTATCCTAAAGATGCAGTTACAGAGCTGAGAATTCTCTTGTGAGTCATAACATAAAATGACATGATTGAAATAAAATCTCTTCACCAAATAATAAAAAGATACGTATTTATTTGTTAGTCCAAACAAAGAAGTAACAGAAATTGTATCAATAGTTCAAAAAGTTAAATTATAAACAATCACAATGCAGCATGTAAAATTAAAAATGTGCTATTTAAATTTACCTTTCCTTCATGAACATACCCAACGTACAGAAGATTTTTTCAGAGGTCTCCTTTTTGACAACTGTGCTTTCAATGATAACTAACATGTGCATGTCTCTGCTCAGCATAAATCATTGGTTATAACAGTGGGTAGGCTGGTTCACGTTTTAAGGCAAATGATTTTGTCTTCTGAAAAAGCTGATTATCCCATGTTTTTTTAAAAACCTGATATAAGAAGAGAAGATAATCCTGTACACAAATGAGGAGATGCAGTGCTGTCGAGGCAATGACATTAGACAAGCTATTAGGAGGTCCTAATATTCTTGGACATGGTTGAAGTCCCACAACAGGTGGACTTTAAATTCAATTAATTTTTTTTATATCTAGAATTTAAATCCAGTCTCAGTAATAGCGATGATGAAACCATTGCTGTTTATTGTAAAATCTAGCTGGCTTACTGATGCCCTGTGGGGAAGAAAATCTGCCATCCTTAGCTGGTATGGCTGGCACTAGATTTTAGACTGACAACAGTGGCTTGACCCTTAACTGCCCTCTGAAATGGTACAGTAAGCCACATCAATTGAAGGGAAATTAGAGGTGGACAACAAATATTGACTGACCAGTGACACCCACAGCCCATGAAAGAAAACTAATGTGAATTCGCCAAAACTACTTAACATCCGTTGCCAATGACCTTGATTTAACCTTTTTGAATTCACTTCCCCGAAAAGATGTAGAAAAATCACAAGCATAAAAATTAGTTTTCCCCTTAAACGGAGGACATCATGGGTCACATTACAAGTTTTCCACTTGAGCAGATGATTAGGTTTCAAAACAAATACAGCTTCAAGATCTACAGAAGAGGAATATAAAGTGATTTCTGCAATTTATCAAAAACATTGTACCAATAGCATTTATGTTAACTGATCAAACAAGTCAAAGTTAAACTACATGAATGTTTGTTCTGCTAGTTGCTTATCAGTGACATTAAGAGTTAACTGTAGACGTTATACTTACAATAAAGAGAGTGCATTGCCTTTCCATTCTCTCCGGAAATTTTGGCAATCCATTCTTATTCAATTTTACAAAAAATCTTTCACTGCAAGAAAATCAAGATAGCAATGAGGATTCATCATCTTTTGATGCACTATCTACAATTTTCGGCCTTACAATTTGGAATCATCGTGCCAGTTAGCCAACTGGAGGCAATCCACAATATTATACAAAGCCAGTATATAATTTCTCTGGATACAATATATTTAGCCCTGCTCAATAATTATATTTTATTATGATTATTATTTTAAAGGCCTCAAGTGCTTAAAATTCTCTTCTAGATTATATAATTTCTTGCCATGCAGGCAAGGAAACGGTGACCACATCCAACAGTATGCTTGCACACAATCATTGAATGACCAGATGACTTGCAGCCCATTACAGCTGAAGAGCAATTCAAATAGTCCCACTGCCCTGCCCTTTCCCCCTCCATTCCCCTGAAGTTGTTTTCTTCCCTCCAATTCCTTTTTGAAGTTTATAATTGATTCATATCTCAACATCCCTTTGGGCAATGCAGTTCAGATCACAACAATTTGCTCTGTATAAAGGATATGTTTTCTAATGCAGCCTTTGGTTCTTTTGCCAATCACCCAAACGTGGGTCCTCCAATTTTCAACCCTTCCAACATTGGAACCAGTTTCTCTTTGTGTACTGCTTAAAAACTGCTCATGACTTGAGTACCTCTGTCAAAGCTCCTCAACTTTGTGCTGAGGATTATAATGCTGGTTTCTCCTATCCCACATTCTGGTCACTCTTCTAGTAGACCTTGAAACAAAAATGTTCTTTGCATGAAGGAATGTCATATGTGTAAGAATGGCATGAGTTTGTAAAATGAAATACAATAAATTTTACAAAATGGAATAAAAATTAAAATAAAAAATAAAAAAAATAAAAAACTGTCAGTAAGCAAATAATTTTGCTGTACTTGAGAGGTTCAATAGAATTGTGAGTACAATGTAGTGTGCTAATGGCACCTCAAATAAATAGGTTGAATAGAATATTCATCCCCTCCAGCCTGCCCCATCATAGGAAATGATTTAGTTAATCTACCACAGGCCTCAATTCCTCTTTCCTGCCAGGTCCTCGTCACCATGAACTCCTCGATATTTCAAAAATTTATCTACCTCCACTTTAAATACTTTTAGTGATCTAACCTCCACAACACTCTGGGGTAGAGAATTCTTGACATTCACTAGACTCTGAGAAGAAATTCCTTTGTTCCTCAGTTTAAATGAATATCCTCTTATTCAATAATGGTGTTCCCTAGTTTGAGATTCTCCCACCAACAGAAACATCTCCTCATCATCTGCCCTGTTAAGTACCCTCAGGATCTGGTATGCTTCAATAAAATCATCCCTCGTTCTTCTAAACTCTAATGAATAAAAGTCTGTTTAGTTATTCTTGTTAATTCAACCACTTCAGCATTCAGCAATGAAGATGTGTTGTCAAAACAAGGAAGTTAAAACCTTTGTCAAACACGGTGGTGCTCAATTAAATGTAGAGTATGTTCCTTGACACTAATTAATGCAAGGTGGCTGATCTATATGCATCCAATTTAAAATATAGGTTTGTTTCTCAGGGAATTGAAAGCATTTTAATTTGTTTTGACACCTTCGAATATTGGTTTGAAGATGGGTGTTTTGGAAAGGAAAGATTAGACTCATATTTTAAAAGAAACCATGATAAACCTTCAAAATGTTCATCAATTTAATTTAGAATAATGGAATTTCTGGAAAATTGAAATGAAAACATAAAATAATGGAAACATCAATCCATTAACATCTAAAATGAGAAAGAATAATGTGTCAGGTCTCCTGATGAAGATGAACCATCTTTTTCACTTTCAGGAAGATGATAAACCTAAGGGAGTAGTTCCTGCATCTAGTTTTTATTTTAGTCGCACTCATTAAAATTCATATTTCTAAACTGTAACATATAAATGCCACAATTTTTTTGCAAATTCCATTAAACTGGTTCAGAAATTAAAATAAAATGCTCTGTAAAAGGTAAAAAGACAAGGCCAGACATTTTCCCCAAAGAGGAGAGAAAATCAAAAGGTGGAGTACTTTCAACCAGTCTTTTGTGCCTCCGAATAGACAGGGAAAAGCAGTTCTAAGAATTGGCCATCTGCTCACTTTGGTTGGTGAATAGCTTCTGTGGACCCAAAGGAGAAAATTAAATGTTCAAATTAACGCATGGAAAAACAAAGATTTAACCTGATAACTGGAAAAAATCTTTCAAAAAATACCCAGACATATTGCTAAAACAGCCCAGGACACAACAGTTTGGCATTTCCTGCATGGATCCAGCAAGATGCACATGCAATCTGGTCACAAATTACTTACATGGAATAAATGATTGCAAAATTTTTGGCAAGTAAGTTACACTCATTGTTTTAGTATTTTATGATTTATTGATTCTTCCACCCAGCTGTGCAAGGATACGAGATACTTCTGCTTTGCTTTTTCTATTCCTTTTTTTTAAGAAAAGGAACAGAATTTCTTATTGAGGATTGCCCTGATTTTTTCTGTATCATTAAATGGATTTTTATGGTATCAGTATCAGTCTCACGAAAATTAAAAATCTAGCACAATTGCCTGCTCTTAAGAACTGCATGACTAATGTACATGAATAATGGTGACTGAAATGAAACTTTAACTTCCATACTTAAAAAAGAAATGAAATAGGAGTTTACTAATTTCCTCTAGTCCTGATCGTTTATACTAATTTATGTTTGTTGCACATATCAGCAGTCTAACAACATTGGCCAATGGAGAAATTGCCTGGTCAACAAATTACTCCAGAAGCTTCAAAGAAAAAAACATTATAAAACAAGTATTTGTGTTAATTCTTTTAATTTACTTGACTAAGTACATAAAATTTGTTCTGCACATTCAACAAATACTGCAAAGTAAACCTCGCCATAAAATGTTTTATAAAGAAGCAATGGACTTAAATAAGAAAAGGTACGGAACTGTATCTCAGGAGTTCCAGAATAAGCTATTTATGCAATTATAAAATGAATGATATCCAGTTACAATATTCATTCATATCAATTTGCAGGAATTGAAGAGTCCAATCCCAAAGTCTTTCAGTAAAATAAAAGTCATTGCCTAATTTCTTCTTAAATCTCTCAATCCAAGGAATTGATGATATCACTGGATCCATTAAATTTACTTTTATTAATCAGTTCAAAACAATTGGTTCACAATATTCCTAAATTTGACCACTGTTTTAAGTTAATAGCCGTAATAACAAACTTCTAATAAAAACACTTAATTTTTTACGAGCTATAAAAATTTGAACAAATACCAGGCATTGTACATAATAACTGCTTTTTTTTTGGAAGTGTCATGCCCGGGAAGATATCACATTTGCAACTGTAATCAGACTGACAAGCTTATGTAAAGTTTTGAATTGAATCACAATGGGTGGCAACCACCCCTTGAAAAGGGACGTGACAAAACAACACTCCTTTGTCAAATTTACAACCTGTCATTATCAAAGCTAACCCCAAAATATAGTCAATGGATTTTGATGGTATGTAGTTTGCAGTGTAACAAAGAAAACCTAACAAGATCAGTTATCTAAAATTGTTCCAAAGAAGGGTCACTGGACTTGAAACATTAACTTTGGTTTCTCCCCACATATGCTGACAGACCAATTTCTGTTTTTGTTTCAGATTTCCAGATTTCCAGCATCTGCAGGTCTTTGTTTTAGTTACCTATAAATTATGTGTGAAAGACCATATTTTCCTTCCATTGAATATCAACAGCAGTTGATCATGTGGCTAAAACTGGGTCTGTGAAATCCTTTGGTGTCAAGAGCTCTACAAGAGACGTGGAGGTAGTTTATAGAATAATACTAACAAGACAACAGCTGCAGAGAAAGGCTGTGCTACCTTTGCCTTTCAAGAATAAAGAGACATAAAAGTCTTTTTAAGAGACTTTCCAGCCCCGATTCTGAAGCTATAACTCCATTTGTAAAGAAATTAGACCTCACAAGATAATATCATGACTGCCTGCTCAGCTGAGTAGTTGAACAGACTTCTCTTCAAAGGAACTCTGCAGTTCATTTGGATATCCAACCTGGCTATCTGAAATACAATTCCGAACGGCAAAAGAAAATACTGTATAATAACCGAAAGAACCACGGAAGCTGTTAATCAGACACAAAAACAGAAGTTGCTGGAAAAGTTCAGCAGGTCTGGCAGCATCTGTGAAAAGAAATAAGAGTTAAGTTTCAGGTCCGGTGACCGTTCCTCAAAACTGGGGAAGAGCCACCAGATGCGAAACATGCAACCTGATTTCTCTTCACAGATGCTGCCATATCTGCTGAGCTTTTCCAGCAACTTCTGTTTCTGTTAAAGAAAATATTGTCTTCTTTGATACTGAAGAGGCACAGTGGCTCAGTGGTTAGCACTACTGCCTCACAGTGCCAGGGACCTGGGTTCAACTTCAGCATTGGGTGACTGCTTGGGTGGAGATTGTATATTCTCCCTGTGTCTGTATGGGTTTTCTCCTGCACTCCCAAGGTATGCAGGTTAGGTGGACTGGCTATGCTAAATTGTCCCGTAAGTCCAGGAATGTGCAGTCTCGGTGGATGACCCCTGTGAAATATGGGATTAAGGGGATAGGTCTGGGTGGTATGCTCTTCAGAGAGTCCCAATAGACTTAACAGACTAAGGTGACACTTTCTGCTGTGTAAGGATGCCATCCTTTGATATGTTAACTATTACTTTGGTTTAACATTTGTAGAAATGTACGACCGTCATGAACTGCACCTTGAACAGCTCGAACAGTTCATCCACTTCACCAACACCTTCCACCCCAACCTTAAGTTCACCTGGACCATCTCTGATATCTCTCCCTCTCCTTCCTGGACCTCTCTGTTTCCATCTCTGGCAACCACGTGGAAACCGATATCCATTTCAAGCCCACCAACTCCCACAGCTACCTAGAATATACCTCCTCCCACCCACCTTCCTGCAAAAAATGCCATCCCCTATTCCCAATTCCTTCGCCTCTGCTGCATCTGCTTCCAGGA